CACACCAACCGTCGCTGAGACAACCATTCTAATGCCAACTGTCCCCGAGACAACCGTTGCTAAGACAACCATTCCCATGCAAACTGTCCCCACGCCAACCATCACCGAGAAAACCATCCCAAGGCAAACTGCAACCAAGCCAACCATAGCCAAAACAACCATCCCTAGGCAAACTACCCCCACAGAAACCGTCACCGACACAACAGTCACGGAGACAACCGGCCCACACCAGCTGTCACTGGGACAACTGTCCCCACGCCAACCGTCACCGTGACAACCGTCAACACACCAACTGTCCCCACGCCAACCGTCCCCGTCCCCATGACAACAGTCGCCGACACAACCGTCGCCAAGCCAACACTCCTCATGCCAACCATTGCCATGCAAACTGTCCCCACACAAACCGTCCCCGAGACACCCGTCCACACGCCAACCGTCAGCAAGAGAACTGTCCCCACGCCAAACTTCGCCAAGACAACCGTCCCCATACCGACCATCCCCACACCAAACTTTGCCGAGCCAACCGTCCCCAAGCCAACAGTCCCCGAGGCAACCATCCCCACGCCAACCGTCCCCGAGACAACAGTCACCAAGACAACCGTCGCCGAGAAAATCATCGCTGAGACAACCCTTGCCATGCCAACAATCCCCACGCCAACCGTCACTGAGACAACTGACGCCTAGACAACTGTCCCCTCACCAACAACCACCGCCGAGACAACCATCGCTAGGCAAACTGCCCCCACACAAACCGTCATAGAGACAAGTCACGAAGACAACCGGCCCACACCAGCTGTCACTGGGACAACTGTCCCCACGCCAACCGTCTCCGTGACAACCGTCAACACACCCTAAGCCTACGTCTATCGGTGAGACAACCATCCCCACTCCAGCTGTCATCAAGACAGCAATCCCCTCACCAACCGTTGCCACGCCAACTGTCGCCGAGACAACGGTCGCCGAAACAACCGTCCCTACGTCAACTATTGCCGAAACAACCGTCCTCATGCCAACTGTCATCAAGACAACAATCCCCTCTCCAACCGTCTTCACACCAACAGTCGCCGAGACACTGGTCCCCATACCAAGCGTCCCCACACCAACCGTTGCCGAGAAAACTGTCACCACGCCAACCGCCCCCGAGACAACGATGCTGTTATGAACCCGTCAAAAGTTTCAGGAGACAAAGTTAATTTTTCTTTTTAATGATAAAAATTTTTCAAGTACCTAAAGTTATGATAGTAATTTCAGTTGTACAAGAAAAGTCAATACTATTTTGCCAAGTTGGCTGTCTGTTTCACCATCAGCTGTAATTATTCAGAGTATGTTAGTTTGGACAGTTGGTACCTCGCAGTAGGGGGGGGTAAGGGAGTCACCTTGACAACTGTCCCCATGCCAAGCGTCCCCACGCCAAACATTGCCAAGACGACTGTCCCCATGACAACTGTGGCTGAGACACAAATCCCCTAGCCAACCGTCCCAACGCCTCCAACTGTCGCTGAGACAACCGTCACCGAGACAACCACGACCGAGAAAGCCGTCGCCATGACAAACGCAGCCACGCCTACCCTCCCCGCACCAACCATCCCCAAGACAATACTCCCCAAGACAACCTTCCCCACATCAACCATCGTCGAGAGAACCATCGTCGAGGTAACCGTCGTTGAGACAACAGTTGTAGAGACAACAGTCATCGAGACAACAGTCATCAATACAACCAGCCCCTCACCAACCGTCGCCACGCCAATGGTTGCCACGTAAACTATCACCGAGACAACCGTCCCCACGCCAACTGTCCCCGAGGAAACTGTCCCCATGCCAACCGTCGCTGAGACAACCTTCGCCGAGAAAACCACCCCATGCCAATCGTCCCCACACCAACCTTCCCCGAGACAACTCCCCCCGAGACAACTGTCCCCACGCCAACCGTCGCTGAGACAACACTTCCAACGCAAACTGTCCCCAAGAGAACCGTCGCCAAGACAACCGTCCTCAAAGCAACCATCCCCACACCAACTGTCGCTGAGACAACCTTCGCCGAGAAAACCACCCCATGCCAATCGTCCCCACACCAACCTTCCCCGAGACAACTCCCCCCGAGACAACTGTCCCCACGCCAACCATCGTCGAGACAACCGTCGTTGAGACAACCGTCATCAAGACAACCAACCCCTCACCAACTGTTGCCATGCCAACAGTCCCCACACCAACGATAGCCAAGACAACCATCCCCGAGACAATCGGCCACACATCAACACCGTCGCCATGACAAACACCGCCAAGCCTACATTCCCCACTCCAACCTTCGCCGAGAGAACGGTCGCAGAGACAACCATCCCCACGCCAACCATCCCTGAGAAAACTATGTCTGAGACAACCATCGCCACGCCAGCAATCCCCACGCCAAGCGTCGCTGAGACAACTGATGCCGAGACAACTGTCCCCTCATCAATCGTCGCCACGCCAACAGTTGCCGAGGCTAACGTTGCTGAGAAAACCGTCCCAGAGACAACCATCGCCGAGACAACCATCCCCACGCAAACTGCCCCCACACAAACTGTCGCTGAGACAACAGTCATGGAGACAACCGACCCCACACTAGCTGTCACTGAGACAACCGTCCCCACGCAAACCGTCCCCACGCCAACAGTCACCGAGACACCCGTCCCCACCCCAACCATTGCTGAGACAACCGTCCCAACGCCAACCGTCCCCAAGACAACCGTCATCAAGACAACCATGCCCATGCCAAGAGACCCCACGCCAACCATCACCAAGACCACCGTCTCCATGCCAACTGTTGCCGAGACAACAATCACCTCGCAAACCATCCCAATGCCAGCTGTCCCCGAGAGAACCTTCACCAAGAGAACCGTCCCTACGTGAAACGTCGCTGAGACAACCATCCCCGAGACACCCGTCCCCACGCCAACCAGCGCCAAGACAACAGTGACGACAGCCACGATAGAACCATTGCCATGACAACCATCGGCAAGACAACCGTCCCCACGCCAACTGTCCCCACGCTAACCATCGCCGAGACAACCATCGCTGAGACAACCATCCCTAAGCAAACTGCCCCCACGCCAACTGTCGCTGGGACAACTGTTACCGAGACAACTGTCACCGAGACCACTGTCACCGAGACAACCGTCCCCACACCAACTGTCACTGAGAAAACTGTCCCCACGCCAACCGTCCCCATGCCAACCGTCCCCAAGCCAACCGTCGCTGAGACAACCGTCAACATGACAACCATCGTTACGCGAACAGTCCTCACGCCAACCGTCCCCGGGCAAACTGTCCCCAATGCCCACAGTTGCCAAGACATCCGTCCCCACTACAACAGTTGCTGAGACAACCGTCCCAACGCCAACTGTCCCCAATACAACCGTCGCCGAGACAACCGTCCCCATGCCAATCGTCCCCATGACAACCATCGCCAAGACTACCGTCCACATGCCAACTGTAGCTGAGACAACAATCCCCTCGCCAACCGTGCCAACGCCAACCGTCGCCGAGACAACCGTCACCGAGACAACCATTACCGAGAAAACCATCGCCATGACAAACGCAGCCACGCCTACCGTCTTCGCACCAACCATTGCCAGGATAACTCTCCCCAAGACAACCTTCCCCACGTCAACCATCGTCGAGATAGCCGTCGTTGAGACAACAGTCATCAAGACAACCAGCCCTTCACCAACCGTCCCCACACCAACCGTCCCCAAGGTAACTGTCCCCATGCCAACCGTCGCTGAGAGAACGGTCGCCGAGTCAACTGTCGCTGAGACAACCGTCCCCACGCCAACCGTCGCCGAGACAACGGTCGCCAACACAACCGTCCCCACGCAAACCCTCCCCATGACAAGTGTCAGCAAGAAAACTGACCCCACGCCAACCGTTGCCGAGACAAGTGTCCCCACGCCAACCGTCACAGAGACAACCGTCCCCACGTGAACCGTCAGCAAGAGAACCATCCCCACGCCAACCTTCGCTGAGACAACTGTCCCCATACCAACCGTCACCACACGAACCGTTGCCGAGACAACTGTCCCCACGCAAACCGCCCCTGAGACAATGATGCTGTTATGAACCTGTCAAAAGTTTCAGGAGACAAAGTAAACTTTTCTTTTTAATATTAAAAAAATTTAAAGTCTCTAAAGTTATGATAGTAATTTCAGTTGTATAAGAGAGGTCAATACTACTTTTCCACGTTGGCTGTCTGTTTCAACATCAGCTGTAATTTTTTCAGAGTATGTTGGTTTGGACAGTTGGTATCTCACAGTACTGGGGGGAAGGGAGTCAGTCCCCACGCCAACCGTCGCCGAGACAACTGTCACCGAGAAAACCGTTGCCATGACAAACGCAGCCACGCCTACTGTCCCCACACCAACCATCGACGAGAGAAGGTTCGCTGAGACAACCGTTGCCACGCCAACTGGACCCAAGACAACAGTGCCGACTCCAACCGGCCATGATAAAACCATCGCCAAGCCAACCGTCCCCGAGGCAACTGCCCCCATGCCAACCGTCGCCGAGACAACCGTCGCCGAGACTACTGTCGCCACGTCAACTATCGCCAAGAAAACCATAGCCACCCCAACCGTTGCTGATACAACTGTCCCAACGCCAACCGTTCACAACACACCTGTCCCTACCCCAACCATCCCTGAGGCAATCGTCCCCAAGACAACCATCCCCACACCAACAAATCCCGAGACAACTGTTGTCAAGACAACCATCATCAAGACAACCGTCCCTGAGAAAACAGTCCCATGCCAACCACCATCAAGACAACAATCCCCTCGCCAACTGACCACACGCCAACCGTCGCCGAGACAACCGTCGTCGAGACAACCGTCCCCATGCCAACGATCCCTGAGAAAAATATCGCTGAGACAACCCCCCCCACACCAACCTTCCTCACGCCAACTGTCATCAAGACAAAAATCCCCTCGCCAACAATCCCCACGCCAACCATCGCCGAGACAACTGACACAGAGACAACAGTCCCCTCACCAATCGTCGCCACACCAACAGTTGCCGTGGCTAAGGTCACCAAGACAACCATCGCCGAGACAACCGTCCCCAAGACAACCATTACCGAGACAACCATCCCCATGCAAACCATCCCCACGCCAACCATCGCCAAGACAACCATCCCTAGGCAAACTGCCGTCATGCCAACCGTCGCCGAGACAACTATTGCCAAGACAACTCTCACCAAGACAACTGTCACTGAGACAACCATCCCCACACCAACTGTCACTGAGACAACTGCCCCTACTCCAACCGTTGCCGTTTCAACCGTACCCACGCCAACCTTGCCCACGCCAACCGTCCCCAAGCAAACCGTCACCGAGACAATCGTCGCCACGCCAACACTCCTCATGCCAGCTCTCCCCACGCCAACTGTCCCCACGCCAACCTTCCCCAAGTAAACCATCGCCGAGACAACTGTTCCAACGTCAACTGTCCCCGAGACAGCTATGGACAAGACAACCATCCCCAAAGCAACTGTCCCCACGCCTACCTTCGCCGAGACAACCGTCCCCACACCAACAATCGGCGAGACAACCTTCGCCGAGACAACCACCCCCATGCTAGTCATCCCCACAAAACCATCCCTGAGACAACTCTCCCCGAGACAACCGTCCCCATGCCAACTGTCATCGAGACAACCGTCATCGAGACAACCGTCATCGAGACAAGCAGCCCCTCGCCAACCATCACCACACCAACGGTCCCTACGCCAACCGTCCCCGAGACACCCGTCCCCACACCAAACGTCACTGAGACAACTGTTCCAACACCAACTGACCCCGAGACAACCGCCACCACGCCAACCGTCGCCGAGACAACCGTCCCCATGCCACCTGTCACCAAGACATCCTTTGCCGAGACAACTGCTCCCGTGCCAATTGTCCCCACACCAACCATCCCCGAGACAACTCTACCTGAGACAACCATCACCACACCAACCATCGTCGAGACAACCATCATTGAGACAACCGTCATCAAGACAACAAACCCCTCGCCAACCGTTGCCACGCCAACGGTCCCCACACCAACCGTCCCCGAGACAACAGTCGCCACCATGACTGTCGCTGAGAGAACCTAGGCCGAGACAACAGTCGCCATGCCAACTGTCCCCACACCAAGCGTCCCTGAGACAACCGTCCCCATGACAACCATCGCTGATACACACGTCATCGAGACAACTGTCATCTAGACAACCGTCCCCTCACCAACCATCGCCATGCCAACAGTCCCCATGCCAACCATAGCCAAGACAACCATCCCCGAGAAAAATGTCCCTGAGACACCTGTCCCTGAGACAACTATCCCCAAGAAAACCGTACCCACACCAACCTTCCCCAAGACAAGTGTCCTGATGCAAGTGTCGCCTAGAGAACCTTCGCTGAGACAACCATCCCTACGCCAACTTTCCCCACGCCCACCGTCGCCGGGAGAACCATCCGCACGCCAACCGTCCCCGTGAAAACTGTCCCCACGCCAACCGTCGCCAAGACAACCGCCACCACGCAAACCATTGCCATACCAACCGTGCCCGCACCACCAGTCAGCAAAAGAA